AGGGCTGAGCTGGAAGCCGCGCTTCAAAAATCTTCCGAGGAGCTGGAGAAGGTTCGCGCCGATGATGCCGAGAAAAGCAAACTGCTCAACCGAGCAGTAAAAACCATAAAAAAGGAAAGGGCTGACTCGCAAAGGAAGCTGGAGGCCGAGCTGAAGGCCGCTCAAGAGGAGAAGCTTGCTTTTGGGCAAGAAGTGGAGAAGCGTGCGGCAGTCGCGGTGAACAATCACTATGCGGGTTTGGTCGCAAAAGTGAAGGAATCGCTTTCTCGTAAGGAGAAGGCTCATGAGTTGATCTCGACCGCGGCTCAGTGGATCGGGGCTAAGAAGGCGCTCGGCATCGTACGTAAAAAAGGCTACAATTTTTCGGCTCTTGTTGACGAGAATGTTGAGAAGCTGATTGCTGAAAGTAAGGCAAATCTGGATGCCTTTGAAGAAGTTAGCTTTACGTCGGAAGAGCTTCAAGTCCAAGATGCGGAAGTTTTTCTCGAGGTTTCCAGTAACGTTCCATCCTTGATTGGCGGTCAAGAGCCTGATAAGGCCAAGTCTTCGGAGGGAGACGGTCTGGAGAAAGAGAAGGAGGCCGATCAGACGGATGATCAAGATGCCGGTCAGCCTGTTAGTCAAGAGGCCGAACAGGAAGAAAGAGAAATCCAGGAACAGGCCGAAGACTAGCCTTTCCCTTTGCTTCGATATGTTTTGTTGTACTTGGTATTTTGTTACCGTAGACTTGTATTATTTCCGCCGTTTTCGGCATATATTAATGAAATGTTTTATTTGAGAATCTGAACACAAATCGCGATTTGATATCAGCTTATATTTATGTGATAAAAATTTCTAAGTACTAAGTGAATAAGCGAATGAGATCGGCATGTATTCCGTACTTAGAAACTTCTTAAGTCGAATACGAATTGCAACCAGGTCGGCTTTGTAAATTTCGCATGACTTAAGAATTGCAGAGTGGATTCTGGCTTTAAAGGAAAGTGTGAATACGAACGTGCGGGAAGCCCGGCTTACGATTGTTCATACCACTTCTCTTCTAAGTGTGAATACTCGATGTGCGATTCAGGTCGGCGTCAAATCATCGGTACCACTTAGAAGTATCTGAGTCGAATGCGGATGCAAGACGGACTTGGCTGACAACAACGCATGGCTCGGATATATTGAAACAGGTAAAACTGTAAGATGCAAGACAGAATTGGCTTTAAGTTGCCGAGCTAAAGTGGATCAGACTTTAGCTTTTGGCGGATCGAGCATCTGGCCTGGATGCCGATATGAAATTGACAAAGACGAAGTTTTGAAAAGAAATGATTTTATTGAATCTTGAAAGTAAAAACTTACAAGAAGGCTCGGAAAGCTAAAAAAATAGTCAAGAATCCCCCCGTTTTGAGGAGGGGAAGCAGTTGCGCCATCCGAAGATAGGCTGCCTACGTACCCCTTTCGGGGGTCAAACCGCTTCGTAGTTCATAGGGACTATTCCCTTCTTTTTTTTTTTTGAAGATGCCGACCTCAAGGAGGTGCCGATCTAGCTATAGTATCGTTTGAGATTGAGAGAGCTCCAAGCCCGCGGGACCAACTCGCCGTCCATTGCTTCGAGTCGGTAAACACCTGGTTTCACTTTGTTGGTAATGATGTAAGGGCCTTCCCAGTTTGCGCCGAGCTTCCCTGCATTTGCTTCTTTAGTATTCTCATAGACTTTTCGAAGGACGAGGTCGCCTTTGTCGAAGTGTCAATTCTGCACTTTTTTATTGTAGTACCGAGCTGCTTGATTCTGGTAATTCTGCATTCTGAACAACGCTTGGTTGCGTGTTTCTTCGAATGTGTCGATATTGTCGACCAGCATCGTTGCGTTTACTTCAGGAATACTCGGGAGTACTCGACGTCGTAAGCTGCCAACGTTGATCTCCGCCGGGACCATAGCTTTGCATCCGTATGCGAGTGAAAAGGGAGTCTTCCGGGTTGCAGTTCCTGGAGTTGTGCGATGAGACCAAAGTACGCCGTCCAATTCGTCCGCCCAAAAACCCGTCTTGGCATTGAGACGCTTCTTAATGCCGTCCAGGATCGTCTTGTTGGTGGCCTCGGCTTGTCTGTTGCCTTGCAGATGACGGGGTGTAGACTTGTTGAGGCGAATTTTCCACTTGTCACAAAAAGCTTGAATTTTCTTCAATCTGAACTGGGGGCCGTTATCGGTGACGATCTCATAAGAAAGACCATGTCGGCAAATGATATATCTCCAGAGGAACTTTTGTACTTCGGTGGCGGTGATTTCAGCGAACGCCTTAACTTCGACCCATTTTGTGAAATAGTTGGTCATGATGAGCACATACTTGTGTTGACGAGAGGAGATCATTGGAGGGATAAGGAGGGATCGCCGACGTCAGAAACTCAGTTGGTTGATGGATCATCAGGGCGTGTCGCTGACAGTACTCGCATTTCTGAGCATATTTGATGCAGTCTACTTGCATGGTCGGCCAGAAAAAGCCTTGTCGCTTAATCTTCAGAGCCAGAGCTTGTCCGTTGGAATGGTTTCCACCTGCACCGTCATGAACGTCTTTGATGCATCGTTGAACTTCGTCGCCATGGAGACAAGTAAGAAGGATGCCTGATTCGGTCCATCGGCATAAGACACCTTCGATGATTGCGTACTTGGCACTGCGAGCACGGATCCGCCGAGCTGCCCACTTCTCCGATGGTAGCTCACCAGTTTCGAGGAAACATCGGATCTCGACTCGCCAATCTGGCTGGTCGTCAGTGGTTACTTGTACCACTTCCGTCGCTTCCATTTTGTTTCATATTGTACCTTGGGATTTTGTTTTTAATTTTCATATAGTATGCATTTCTCTATTTATCAATTTTTTTATGATTCAGTGTGTACGTAGATGTTTTATAATTAGTTCATATATTCAACGAAGAAAAAAAATGGCAATTATTAATAAACTTCTTTATTATATGAGTTCTTTGATAATTGATATAATATTTGTTTGGTAGTTTAGCTAGCTCAATCATTTGCCAATATTGGTGAAGAATGTGAAATTTATCGTTATATGTTATTTGAAAAAAAAAAATCTTTTCAGTTTTTTGTTTCATGAACTTTTGCAAATGAAAATTAAGAAATGGTGAGTAACTGTCTTTAATCACCGGTTCTTTAATTAGGTTTTTACTTCAGTTTTTCCACAATATCGCATTACAATGAACAATATGGAACTCTATATCAGCTTTAGAAACTTGAAATCTGTTATAAGTCAAAAAGTTACAATTGTATAAATTAATTTTCTCTAGAAGAAAGAAAACTCAGTCACTCTTTAAGTTTTATTTTTGGCGAGAAAGACGTTCTCCAGTTCCAACAATACTATGATTGAGACTCATTCTACTCCATTCACATTATAAATATAAATGCAAAACAGTTGTGAGATTGTATTTTTATGTTGGTTACAACAATCTCAAGCATGAGACACATTAGACTTCATTTGTGATAGAATTGTGTATTATTTATACCATATGTGGCTCATCGCTATGTATTTTTTTTTTTGACATCCTCATCGCTATGTCTTTTGGATTTTTAAGTGTTTATGATCCACTTAATTAAGTTTTATTGTTTATTATCAGTTTGGTTGTTATTAATTAAAAAGTAAAATTTGTGTTTAGTGACGGCTGATTCCGTTTCTGGTGAGTCAGAGGCGAGATGATTGGAAACCGAGAAGACGGACTCCATAAAATAAGCTTTTGTTTAAGCTTTATAATTGAGTTTTAGTGTAATTCATTTTCAGTTTTTTTTAGCTTTGTTTTTTTTTATTGAGAATTTAAGAATTATAAAAGTTTTTTTGTAGGTAAAATTTGAAGAAATTTTGATTAATAAATTATTTAATAAAATGACTTTAAATTATTGGTTGAAGAAGATGACATAGCAGTTTTAGAATCTACCATTGGTTAATTAATTTTGCTGATGTGACAGACCTTAAAAGCCTAGAAATCTATTAAAAAGTAAAATTTGGGTTTAGTGACGGCTGATTCCGTTTCTGGTGAGTCAGATGCGAGATGATTGGAAACCGAGAAGATGGTGACTTCATAAATAAGCTTTTGTTTAAGCTTTATAATTGAGTATTAGTGTAATTCATTTTCAGTTTTTTTTTTTGAGAATTTAAGAATTATAAAAGTTTTTTTGTAAAATAAAACTTGAAGAAATTTTAATTAATAAATTATTTAATGAAATGACTTTAAATTATTAGTTGGAAAAGATAATATAGCAGTTTTAGAATCTACTATTGGTTAATTATTTTTGCTGATGTGGCAGCCCTTAGAAGCTTAGAAATCTATCCCTTTTATATAAAGGAGATTCTCCATATTTTTTAGCATTTTAATCAAAAATTAATCTATTTATATAAGTTTCATAATCATATTTATTTTAAATTTTAACTATCAACTATCCTCAATATATTTACTACTGATTAATATCCTGTTTGTTTTTGCTAAAAACACAATAATTCATCTTTTTCTTTCCAATTCCATAGATTTCTTTATCTTTTTATGAAATAACTTTTAGAATTAAAATAAACAATAATTTCAAAACAATAATTTCAAATCTAAATATAATTTGTTTTCAAAAATATACTACAAAATTATTTTAAAACTTTACATTTCTTTTCCTATATAAAATAAAATTAAGATATATTTATACTAAAGAATATTGTAAGAATAAACCAAAATAAATTTTTTCTAAAGATATCTAAAAGCCACCCAAATTTTTTCATACTGCTTTAAACTTCTAAATATTTAGGGACAACACTGAATGTCACCAAACACTTTTATAAAAAAATTCACGAAATTAGTATTAGCATTATAACCCAATATAGGTTTATAAGAAAATAAATAAATGATTTCAGATTGGGAGCTCTTTTTTAGATTTCTTATCAAATGCATTCAGCAATTAAAGTAAATCAACAACTTTTTGTATGTGTGTATATATATACATACAAACTTCTTAATGAACATATATAATTTTTTAGTCACACAAAACAAAAGTTAAGAGAGATGGGTATAAAGAAATGCATTGTTTTGATGACTGTGGTGGCAATAGTAATGGCGGCCATGGTAGCAGAAGTTGAAGGACTTTCATGTATGGACAAGTGCATGTTTGAGTGCGGACTAATCCTTATGCCTCAAAAAGCATGTGAAGAGAAATGTCTCCGCAAATGCCACATACCACCTGGTGTTTCCTCTCAACTATCAAAACAATAATTTATTCCCTTATTTGGTTGAATCTAGTTATTTTGTGTGTGTTTATGTTTAAACTATTATAGTTGTCTCAAAGAGATTTTCCTATCAAACATGTGTTGAAAACTCAGCAAAAATCATATTGTATTATTTTTGTCTGCAAAAATCTTTGATAAATAAAAATGTTATGGTTTGAAAATAACATTTCAATTATTAAATACATATACAAACTTGAGTATTTGCATTTGGAATAGCCATACTCATATAGATGTATTTTATTATGTTATGTGTATAGAGGAACTGACATGATTTATATGGGAAAATTGCAGGAAGAAGACTATTGGAATAAGAAACATAAATAAGTGGATATATTAATAAAATAGTTGATATATTTGTAAACTTGTTAAAATTTATGTTTAAATAAAAATGAAAAATCTATAGATAATGATTATTTGTATTGCATCAGTGATTTAATTAATAATGAAATGTTTTATTTCTTCAAACTATATCTTAAATAGCCAAATTATACAAGATTATTAGCAAAATAGCTTGGATTTTAGGGGAAAATATCCTTTTATTTTTATTTGATAATATGTTATATCATAATTTTAAAACAACATATGCAACAAAATGTACTTACAGAAGAATATCACCTTTTGACTCCAAAATATATTTATAAAACGAATATTAAATGATCTCAAATTAGGAGCTCTTAATTAAGACTTCTAAATTATCAAAAGACAAAATAATAACATTTGGACAAGGATTTTTTTAGTGTGTGCAAGAAGAAACAAAATATATGAAATTAATCCGCTGACTCTCACCTAAATGTTTTTTTTTTCTAGTTTCGTTTTTTATAAGAATTATTCTTATTTGGTGATTTTGTGAAAAGTTATTAAGAATTTGAATAATAGTTTGTGTGTGCATATAGAGATCTGAATAATTCTGGTTTTATATTATACTTTTTGATATTTTGATTATATTTAAAGTATTAAATGCTATTATTAGTTTTAAAGTTGCGTAAACAAAGTGTAAGAAAAAAAAATCAAAGTCTATTCAGTTTTAGTATCAATGGTTAATTTGATGTGTTAACAGATTTATTGATTGATTCATAAAGCTTAAAATGGTAGCATTAGTCGTATATATTATATTGTACTCAAATTAGCAATGGTGTGATTTGGTAAATTAAGATGTTTCCTTTGTCCAGATAAAAAAAAACAGTTGGTGAAGCAATAAGACCAATGAGATCCGAAGAAGTGGAACGGTGTGAAGAAAAAGGGTGGTCTAACAAATAGACAGCTAAAAAAACAGACATGTTTTCCTTGACATCTAAAACTTTTCGTTATGTCCAGGGAATTCCTTTTTAATTTTTTTATACAAGACTTCTTTTTAGATTGTAGAAAGCAATGAATCATATCTTAAAACTTAGTTGCAATGGTCTTTAGAACCATATCAAGTCTAAGGAAAATCCCTATGATTTCAGACACCATAACTATTCCTAGAAAAAAACAAGCACATACAAGCTAAACAAAAATCATTTGAGTTCAAAACTTCTAAAATAACACAATTTCAAACCGTTTCTTCGCAGAAATTCAGAAAGAAAAAACATTTCATACTAAATCGAAATATTTAGGAACAGTTGATAGAGTTTAAAATCACTCAATTAAATAAGTATTTAGTGGTTTATATAACAAAGTACAGATAAACCACTAAATTAAGTAAACCAATAAATTGTTTATAGTAAACCAAAATATAAAATCAAAAGCATTTTGTATGAACCAGATTTAGAAGAAGAAGAATTTGACGCATATGACCCATATTTAGAAGAAGAGGAAGAAGAAGAAGCCTTTAAACCATATTTAGAATTTGACGCAGATGGCCCATATTTAGAAGAAGAAGAAGAAGAAGTAGTAGAAGAAGAAGTAGAAGAAGAAGGGGAAGAAGCAATTGAAATAGATGAAGAATACCCTCAAGAAGATTCGGAAGATCTATAAGAAGATGAAAGAAGATGTCCATGTCAATTAAATCAGTTGTAGAACATGTTCTTTCAGTTGTTTTGAACAGTTTTATAGTTCCCATATATAATATAGATGTAGGATTAGTAAAGTCTTCTTCCATTTGCTACTTTGAGTTCTATTTCGTTATTAGTCCACAGTTGCAGAGTCAACAATCAGCGTAACTGTAAAAAAAAGAGATCCAAGTCTCTGTTTCAGTAATAATATGTATTGTTAATGTGTAAATGCAACTTTTGACTAATACACGAACCTTAGAAAGAACATTTAAGTTGGCAAAAACAAATGTAACCACCATCTACCTTATCAGCCTTGCATTTCATGCTCACAACATCTGATAGTATTAAAGAGAAGCAAGGAGAGTAAGGGTGTTTGACCTGTAAAGCAACCTGTGTTGCTCTTTCGGCTGCACAGAGAATAGTTCCGGCACAATCCTAGACGAATATAATACACAAGGAGAGGCTATTATTAGGTTACTGAGGAATCTTTTCATAATATAAAACGAGAAGAGAAGATCAAACTATACCTTTGGGTCAACTTTACCATTACAACACTCTCTAGCAACAGAGTAGACGTATGACCTGAGATGCCAAAGCAACATCTGTGTCTTTAAGCTAACTTTCGTCTGTATGAACACAATGAATTCTAGAGTTTTGAGAGAAGTTTTTTCTACCTTGAAGACTGTAATGCAGTATACATGTCAGCAACTTTACCCTGAAATTATCAAACCAAATTTTTCTCAAGAATCATACGATTAAAGCTGAGATATTGGAGAAAGTTTATGTGGAGGATGATCAACATTATTAACCTGTATAAACTGGAATTCTCCTACTGCACGTACAAACCCTTTGTATCCTTTAACTCATGAAAGGTACAAAGCATCTATGTAGTCATGTGTTTTCTTTGATTATGTAAATAGACAATGATATGCAACTTATCCATCAACGTAAGAGAATCAAATTTAAAAAGATGAAGTTGCAGCAGTCAAAACCTTTTCCTTCCTTGCCAAGAATGTCTCTTTTGGAACAAAGCAATTCTCAAAAACAAGCTCACACCTGCTCAAGAAGAGACAGAAGTCAGAGAAAAAGAGGCAATGAAGAAGGACTTTGAGTTCAACAGAGATCTTTTACCCTGAGGAAAAAAGGGATTTCGTGTCGCTTCTCCGCATTCCTAGCTTGTCCAATTTCTGAGCAGTACTGAATCTACAAAGCCACCACAATCAGAAACAGATTTAAAAGAAGAAACTATCTCTGAACTCTCTCTCTCTTTTCTTTACTAAAGATCATAGCAAACAAACTCAGATATTGCAAAGTAGTCTTGTGAGAGCTGTATTTACCAATTGATTGATGCAAAGGTTGGGATGGGCACCGTGAGATAATGCAACTGAAACTGAGGCCTGGCCGATTTCCTCCATTGCTATACAATGATACAAGTAACCAAGACCTAGACCTCCATACTCCTCTGCAGGCAAAACCAGAGGATTATGAGTGTTAAAGTTCCCTTCTAGACATAGTTGATAAAAAAAAAAGGACATGTTTATGCTAATAGCAGAAGCATATGATCTCTGCTAGATAGAGATTTCACCTGGTGCAGTGATTCCATGGAGGTTGAAATCACCCATTAGCTTCCATAAGTTGACATCCTAGTTAAACAATGTATAAAAAGGTTAGATTTGGGAGATATAGAAGCAGCAGAAACTGTGAGAGGATGTAGTTAAAAGACTAAAAAGTCAGACAAACCTTTGGAATTGAATTGGTTCGATCGATTCTTTCAGCATGAAGAGCGATAACATCTTGCGCAAACTTGGATACACTTTCTTTAAACTGTGATTGCAATATAGCCAGAGAGAATGGATTCAAGAAAGTTTCATGAAATGATGAAATCAATATATATATTACACTGTAAAACCCATAAACTGCGTCGTTCTTGCCAGTTCCATTTTTCACATCATAGCATCAAATTCACTGACACAAATCTCTAAGAAGATTTCAATTTGAATGTTTAATCGCCATGAGAAAACCTCTTAACACACCCCCCCCCCCCCCCCCCCCCCCCCCCAACGAGTGAAAGTCACAAGCTACACTAGAAAACACCAATTGAGGAACACAAGTCGAAAATGGATTCAAGAAAGTTTTTGGGTAAATCTTGGGCCCTAAATGTATTAACATTGAACACAACAAGCACAATGATGATCTTTTGGGAGTAAGACTGATAAAGTAGTACACATAGCAGCCACAAGCTCACTAAACAAACACCATTTTAATACCAGATGCAGACCAAAGTTCCGACCTTTTAAACCGGAATAATAGTCGGAAGATTTTTGAGAAAAAAAAAAAGACTTCGTTCCACCAAATGGAATCGTACGGAATCTTGATCGTCTAAAGACTCAAGAGATAATATACAGACACAAACACGGAAACATAAAGACAAGCACGAATAATGGAGAGAAGAGAGAGAGCGAGAGACATAGAACCTGTGGCTGAGTTTCGTCGAATCGATGAAAATTCATGGTCAGTTCGGAAAGACTGAAACTTTCCCACGAAGGAGAAGCAAGTGGGACGGATTTTCTAAGCAACCTAAAGTAAAAGTATGAGTAAGCGCAGAAAGAAGCAATAGTATTTTCTGGGGGAGAATTGAGACAAATTAAACAAGAACGGAAAAAACTGTGGAAAACAAAATCTTGGAGTAAGAAGAGACAAGAAAGTCTGAAACTTTTATGGGGAAGATAAACAAGGGAAAGAAGAATCGAAGAAAATGAAGGCAATTTTGGAGAAGGTCACAGTGGTGGCTTTGACAGTTTGACTAATGGATGTCAAAATTGGTTTTAACCGGCCGCGATGGAGCCGGTTTGTGTAACAAAAAGTAAACCGGATCAAAATCCTATTAATCCTCTTCACATCATGATAGTAGAGAGTTTGGCTCTAACTGGTGAAACATTAAAATAATAAAATAACAAAAGGAATAAATAGAAAAAGAATAAAATAATGAAAATTATTATTCCTTCCCAAATTTGATAGGTAGTATTTTAAGAGGAAATGCTCCAAATAAACCTAAAATGAAAAAATAATGTGAAACAGATTATTATTCATATTTTATTATTTTTTAAATACTAACGTTACTTTCTAACTATTTTTATTTGTAATTTAACGACAGATTAATAACAGACTGAATGCAGGCTAATGACAGACTGATTGATCTTACAAATAAATATAGACCATTGATAGACTAATGTTATACTAAATATAAATTATTAATGACACATTAAAAGTACACTAGTAGACCCTTTTTATAGATTATTTTAGAAAGAATCATATTTGATAATAAAATTATCAAGTAGATCATTTCAAAAATTATCTTATATTTTAATTTTAAAGTAACAAAATTTTATTGACCGTACAGGAAAAAAAATATTTTTTAAAAATCACACAAATGGGCACATATTACAAGCTACATTTTGGTAAACAAATCGAATGGATAATGATCAAAGAAGCAAAGAGGAAAAACTGCATTGCGTTTGAAGCTTTGGGAGACAAATAAAGTTTTCAAAAAGTTATTGAGAGCGTTTTAATGAAAACAAGAAACATTATAATTCAAATTTCAGAAAACTAAAAAAACGTATTTTTCCGCTAAAATAAAAAAAATTGTATTTTTTCGCCAAAACCGAGAAATTGCATTTTCACTGCAAAAATCTAAAATTTTATTTTCCCGCCACAAAACGTTATTCTAGTTTTTCAGCCAAAACCAAAAATCATATTTTTCCGCCAAAACCAAAAAAAATCTCATTTTCTCATCAAAATTGAGAAATCGTATTTTTTGTTAAAACCGAGAAAATTCATTTCCTCACCAAAACTGAGAAATCGTATTTTTCTATCAAAAACCAAAAATCGTATTTTTCTGTCAAAAATCGAAAAATCATATTTTCGCGCCAATACCGAGAAATCATATTTTCTGTCAGTACCGAGAAATCCAGTTTTCTGTCAAAATTGAGAAAATTTATTTTTTGCCAAAAACGAGAAATTTAGGTTTTCTTGAAAAAATTCTTTTTTCCATCAAAAACAAAAAATCGTATTTCGCCGCCAAAATTGCGAAATAGCATTTTCCCGCCAAAATTGAATTGTTTTATTTCTTCTCGTCAATACTGAGAAATCACATTTTCCGCTAAAACAAAAAATTGCATTTTTCCATCAAAATAAAAAAAATTTCATTTTTTCACCATAACCGAGAAATTTTGTTTTGTTTCTCATTAAAACCAAAAATTACATTTTTCTATAAAACCCGGAAAAAAATAATTTTCCTATCCAAAATCGAGAAATTTTATTTTCATACCAAAACTAAAAAATGACATTTTTCCATCAAATTTGTGAAGACAAATCTATTTAAATTCAAATTTGTATGTTTTTTCTTTTTTTCTAATTCAAATTTATGTAGACAAATCTATTTAAATACAATTTCAGATCTTAATTTATAAATTTATATGAATTTATGTGAGTAAAGCCAATTTATTAATGTTAACAATAATAATTTATAAATTATTTGATTAATAAATATATTTTAGATTAATATTTAAAATTAATATAACTAAAATTAATAATAAAATATGATTAGATGAAATAATGAGTATTTTAAACATTTTTTACTAGAATATGAAAATATAAACTAACAAAATAAACATATTTTATTTGAATAAACTCAAACATACAAACAGAACCCTTCTCTGTGGGGAAACTTATTGTGAAATAGACCCTACACTTTATAAGTATTTCAAATCAAACCCAAATCTTTTTATTATATGATTGTGACGGCGGATAACCAATGGTCTAGAAAATGAAATTTAGGAACTGAGAGTACACGTGGCAACTAAAAAACTATATGACTCCGACGCGTCAAAATCAGTCAATAAATCACTTAACTGCCCTACCTGAAACATAAAAAAGGAAACTTGAGTTCCAATTCTCTCCAGTTTCAATTCTGTCTCTCTCGCTTCCTTGTTCATCGATTTTCTAGGGTTTCGCGGAATTCAATTCGATTCTCGACGAGCCCAGTTTCAATTCGCTATCTCTCTCTCTCTCTTCGATTTTCTAGGGTTTCGAGATCATTCTCCGCTTGCGAAAGAAGATGGCTAAGATAACTGTGCGAATTGCGCGGCCGCCTTTGAAGAAGACGAAGGAAAAGAAAACTAGTGTCTGTCTGAATTCCTTGCGTAAGAAAACGGCTAAGAAAACTCTGGGAGTTGCTCGGTCCCCTTTGAAGAAGAAGAAAAACGAAAGTAGTCTATGTCTCGATTCTTCATCGTCGTCGTCCTGGATCAAAACCCAATTGCTTGGAACAGGAGCTTATGGTTCTGTTTACCTAGCGAGGAGTAAAAAGGACAAGGATCATTATTTACCAGAGAGGGCGATTAAAACGGCAGAGCTTTCACGGGCTTCGAGCCTGATGGACGAAGGAAGGATCCTGTTCCGTTTGCAATCTCCTTTCGTAGTCAGTTGCTACGGCGAAGAGATGGCGCGCGACGAGAATCAATACAATCTGATACTCGAGTACTGCTCAGGGAGAGCCATCGCCGACTTGATCGAGGACGGACAGGGAGAGTTACTTGAGTGCGATGTGAAGGTGTTCGCTAGAGATATCTTGTCCGGTCTCAGATACATCCACGACCGAAACATCATCCACTGCGACATCAAACCGGACAATCTCTTGCTCTGCCCTACCGATCGCCGGTTTAGGCCTAATGGCTACTTGACCAAGCTTGGGGATTTCGGGTTAGCAATGGAGAAAGGATCCTTAGAGTATGGTGACGGGTACGGTCATATGAGAGGAACCACCAGATACGTCGCTCCTGAGCTCATGAGCCATCACTTTGTGGACTTCGGGACAGATATTTGGGCGTTGGGGTGTACCGTTGTGGAGATGCTGAGCGGCAGAGCAGTTTGGGAAGAACATGGTGATCTCGGTTTTGATGACTGGGTCGATCTCATCGGCTATACCGAGTGTCTTCCTCGTGTACCGGGCTGGTTATCTGAATATGCCAAAGACTTCCTTAGCAGGTGCTTGGAGAGAGACGTACACAAGAGGTGGTCTGCTTATTCACTCTCGGAACATCCCTTTTGTGAAGCTGTGATGAAGAAGACAAGTTTGAAGAGGAGTAACACTTCTAATCATCTCAGTTTTAGTCACTTGTACATGTTTAATTGTTTAGAACAATTTTGTGTTCGTCCCGTTGTAATTGCTGCTATTTTGTATCACTTTGAGTTCTGTTTCATTATTTGTTTACAGTTGCAGAATCAAGTCTCTGTTTTAGTATCCATTTGTTAAGCTGTGAAGAAAAAGGAGTAACGATGTTTTCATTTCAGACTTTCAGTTTACATGTTTATACTTTCAATTGTGTGGAACAAATTTGTGTTCTTTCCGTTGTAGTAGTGGTATAAAGTCTTGTTTTTGCTATTTTGATCACTTTGAGTTCTGTATTATTATTAGTAATACGGGTTGCTGAATCGACCATAAACATAATTGTCAATAAAAAGAGATACAAGACTCTGTTTCAGTAATAATCTGTATTGTTAATGTGTAAATGCGACTTTTGAGTAATACACGAACCTTAGAACGAGCACTTCTATATACATTTAACATTGAAGTTGATGTTTCTGAGTACAAAAATGTGAAACCTGCTCGGACATTCACTGATCAAACCACTTCATTAGAATCACCTGTTGCTGTCTCAACGACTATGTCAGTCAGTATCATCTGAGTCCATCCTCCACCACTTCCAGTCCATTGATCTCGACGATGCGCTTCTTATTTCATGTCTCTACATAGCAGGAATCTTGGAATGGTGATTCGCTAGTTCCTTCCACTCCGCCCATAGCTGCAACAGAATGTTCAGACAAGTTGTAATATTAAGGTCATCTCTTGCTGATTAACGTATATGAATAAAGAGGAAACATGAACTTGTTTAGATGATTTCAATCTCTTGATTGCAACATACAACCAAGAAGGCTGCGTCTTGCTAGTTAGATAATGTAGCTTCTACTTCACAAAAGCCTTCTTGATCTGATCACATTTTGTTGACTCTCTTGGCCTGAACTGCATCTTTAATCACATTTTGTTGATTTCAAGGGTTGTACCTGACTTCACTGCTTTTGCAAGCTTCATCTCCTGCAGGTGTTTTATGATTGTAAACCATAAGCCAGTTTAGACCAGTTTTAACAGTTGATTAAAGTCAATCACACAGAGTTCAAAATAGTCCACTATGTATCTCAAGAAACAAGTTTCAAGGGAAAATTACTCCAAATGCAAAGAGACATATATCCAAATCACCAGAAATTTACCATCTGATGATATCTTTCTTTGACCTGTCTCCTTGATAAACCACAATGTTTACACTCGCTGATCTTCAGTAAATCGCTGGGAAGCCCTTCACATCGAAGGTATCATGTGGGAAGTCATTCGCGGTTGCGTCCTGGACAAGTGAAAGAGTAAGTATCCGGTAAGATAAAGCCGCAGAGGATCAATGAACATGACGAGGAAGGGCTTACAAGCTCAGCTATGACGACACTTGGGCTCGCTTTGGTACGACACAGCCACTTCGTCCAAGATTGGAACAAGCTTTTGGCATAGGTTGAGACTTTCTGTGTGGGGCAACTTTATCCATCCTTGTAGTGTTTGACCCATGATTTAATCTCCACATTTGTCTTGAGGTATTTCAACAATTGTCTATTTTGAGCAACTGAAACTTAGAAGCACACCATAAGCCAGTTTAGGACAGTAAAAAAAAAGACAATCATAAGTTTTCAAAATACGTCAACTTCTAGGCGAATTATAGTATCTCAAGAACAAGTTTCAGGGGAATATAACTCCAAATGCAAGAGGCATATATCCAAATCACAAGAAATTTACCATCTGAAAACGAATCAAGATGTAGAAAAACCAAACAGGGATCCTAAAAACAAGACAAAGGAGGCTAAGCACAATGGTAAAAGAATCATAAGCATCCTAACCAGGGAACATTTATTCCCAATTCTACAAAAGCTGCAACATTTAGCAAAGAGTCATATTACGGTTGACAACTCTTAGGCTCTTAGCTGCCTCCACTCGAAAATGAAAAATCAGCAAAAACCCAGTACATAATTCATCAATTATCATCCAATTATCAGAAATCAAAATCTCAGCTCAGTTTTTCCAAAAAATAAGTTCAACAAAACCTAAAATTTTCGTCTGAGAGAATCAAGGAAGGAACTAATTCCACAGTTACGAAAAGTCCAAGCTTTATTTCCCCATCGAAACAGAAAAGGTGAAATGGACAGAACAATGTATCGAGACAACAGGAAGCTTTGAGGATTTCGTACCTTTAGGAGCCATTGTTAGAGTTTAGGAAGAAGGGGAAGAGAAGACAACGTCTTAACATTTGTTCCGACTTAAATTGATTCCATATTTTTTATAATTTCGGTTCGGTTCTCAGGTTTTATAACCAATAAAATTTGGGTTAGTTCAGATAGGTTTTTGTTGTTGTTGAGACTTCAGCGAGTCGAGAGAGAGAAGCGGATCGTTAATGGAGAAATGGCTGAGAAGAAGCTATGGGAAGCTGTTTTCGCTATCTCCGGGATTATGATTACTCTCGTCATCTATGGTCTTCTCCAGGTCTCTCTCTCCTTCTTTACTCTTCTCTCAGATTTTTTTCCCTTTTGATTCTCGTTTCTTATTAAAAAATTCAAAATTGATTGAAGAAACTTGGAGGGTTTTTGCTTTTTTAATCTTAACTCAGGAAGTAGTTTATAGGTCTCTACTGTTCACCACCGAAAGGATATTTCTTGTGGAATTGCAAAACAAAACTATAGAAATTCAGATAAGTGAAAAGATATTTTTGTTTGTTTGATTTGAATGTTTTGGGTTCAATTTTGCAGGAAAAGATTATGAGAGTGCCATATGTGCTGAGCAAGGAGTACTTTAAGCACTCTTTGTTTCTCGTTTTCTGTAATCGACTCACTACATCAGCTGTTTCTGCTGCTGCTTTACTGGTAACTACGTAAACCTGAGTTGTATGTTGTGTGCCAAGAGAAGCTAGTTTTGAATCAAAGGACCATTCTGTATACCTTAGGCGAGCAAGAAGGTTTTGGATCCTGTAGCTCCGGTTTACAAATATTGTCTCATATCAGTAACTAACATCCTAACAACAACGTGTCAGTATGAGGTATGACAAAGTTCTTAACCCTCCAATCTAATCAATGAACTAAGCCCATTCCTCTAAATCTTTGTTTTGAAAAATTTGTTATGATGTCTCTTAGGCCCTCAAGTATGTGAGTTTCCCAGTCCAAACTCTGGCGAAATGTGCCAAAATGATACCTGTAATGGTAAGTCATAACTTTCTTTTTTTTGTTATGTAAAGTAGGAAACTTCTTATCACCACTCTCTAACTTCATGTGTGTTTTACAGGTTTGGGGAACTCTCATAATGCAGAAAAGATACAGGGGATTTGACTATTTAGGGGCTTTCCTCGTAACACTTGGATGCTCTGTCTTTATTCTCTTTCCGGTAAATTTCTAATCTTTCCCAAAGGGATCTTCATTAGTTTATAGTTCGGGTTCATTAGTTTTTATTTTATGTGTTTAAATTGTAGGCGGGAGATGATATTAGTCCGTACAACAAAGGAAGAGAAAACACTGCCTGGGGTGTTTCTCTTATGGTTGGTTATCTTGGGTATATATCCGTTTTCATTCATTGTTAATCTGGTTTTTTAAAATAGGAACCTTCTATAGTTAATCTGGTATGATAACAGGTTCGATGGGTTTACGAGCACATTCCAAGACAAACTATTTAAAGGTTATAATATGGAGATACATAACCAGATATTCTACACAACACTTTGTTCCTTTATTCTCAGTTTCACTGGTGAGAATCTTCTCTTTGTAGTTATCCTTTTGTGATGTTTTGTTTCCAATTGATCGATCACTTGGGTTTCTGTAGTTATGTACTTCTGATCTAAGCTTCACTCTGAGATCATATGTTAGTAAACTCTAAACCGTGTAGGAAGTAGGAACTTTTCTTAGGCTTCGTTTATCTCTGACTTTCTCTTAGTTCATCTGCATAAACTTCAATGTGTAGAGTAGACCTCGAAAAAGCGCATGAACCATGTCGATCATGCTTTTTTGGTACTCATATGGGAAGTTTCCTGTTTGATATAGGCCTTATATTACAAGGGCATTTACTCCCAGCTGTGGACTTTGTTACTCGGCATAAGGATTGTTTCTTCGACATCGCTTTGCTTTCCACTGTAAGTCCATCTCTGCTCTTCTACTTAGTCATTACCATGATCATGTTCAAGAAATCTATTCAAATTAGAGTATGATTGAAGTGTGGCAGTGGTCACAGCTTCTGTAGTTAGAGATAATCTAGAGTTTAGCTTGTAATCCAAACACAAAGCTTGTAACTACGCGACAGATATAAGATAGTATGTGAACTTATTAGAGACGACGTGCTGTTGTTTTGCAGGTAGCAACAGCCAGCCAATTTTTCATTTCTTACACCATTAGGACATTTGGAGCTCTAACTTTGCTGCGATAATGACTACAAGACAGGTATGTTACTCTGATTTCAACTGTCTGTTTCGTCTCACAATTTATTATTCCATCTAAGTTATTCTTTGTTGTTTGAAAAATTTGAAGCTTTTGAGCATCATGCTCTCCTGCATTTGGTTCTCGCACCCGCTTAGCTGGGAGCAATGCATTGGATCCGTAAGCTCCTCCAAGCCTCTCTGTACTTCATATTCTTTCTCTTACCAGATCTCTCTCTGTTGTGAAGCTGAACCAATTTATCACTCGTGTAGATAATTGTTTTTGGATCTCTATATGCTAAAAACTTACTAAAGAAGAGATCAGAAAAGCTGCAAGCAGTTCAAGAACTTTCACAGGAGGCTGAGCCTCTTAAGGTAAACCCTTAAAGCACAAAGAAAGTTTTTTTTTTCCTCTGATGCTTAATGATCCCTATGTTAGTTACTCCGAGGCATCTGACTAACAAAAACTATGCGGTTTCGGTCACAACAGTATAATTTAGGTTCACATCCGCTTTTTCTTTTTGTCAATAAGAAATGTTATGGTTACAATTTTATTGATATCGTCATAATCCGTCTAATATCGAAAAGTCCCACCAATACGACTTACTACATTGAGAGGTCATATTATACATACACAAGCCATGGTATTTTCCGTATTCTATTTGCGACAAGACGGTTTTATAAATTTTTATCCACACGATATATTTTAAGTAAATAGAGTCAGGCAAGAACCGGTTTTGACAAATATTTATAACATATATAATTTAGACTTATATTGTCAAATAAGAAATGTGATTAATTTTTCTTATTTTAACTATATTTTGGCAATGTTAATTTTTGGCAATCTTCTCTTCAGTATATCCAAAGCTAGACAAATTATAGAAAAAGCATTTGCTAATAATCAATGATGATTCTGATTTTATCAACGTCACTAAAGATTTGCAAATAAAACCAACATCCTCATTCATCCAATCATCTACGATCACTTCAAGATGAAGGTTAGTTAGTCCTTTTTGTTGAGTCAGAAGCTAAAGATTGGTATAAGTGATGAAATAAACATGACTCAAAAGATATTACTTTTGAACAGAAGTTGCACAAAAAGTAAATAAACCGTTATTCATCAGTTATGGCTCTCTCTTGCTCTCTTTTTTTCTTGTGTTTTTTACTGATTTATGCCATTTACACCTTTTGAATAAATAAAAAAATATTTTCTGTTATTGAAATATTCTGTTTTATCACACAACAAATAGAAATGTAATGGTTGCATATCTTAGAGAGAATTCTCATAAAATAGACCAGGCAGACCTGCATGCTTCTCACGCTGCATATCTAAGAGACATGTACGATTATGAGCAGGGTGAGAGACATGTACGATTATGAGCAACTTGCTGAAAGACATGTACAATTATGAGCAACTCGCTGAAAGACATGTACGATTCACTGCAGGAGCCGCTGAAACATCTTCTATCTCTTACCAGATCTCTCTATTGTGAAACCGAACCAATTTGTCACTTGTGCGGGTAATTGTTTTCGGATCTTTGTATACTAAAAACTTACCAAAGAAAAGATCAGAAAAATTGTGACCAGTTCAAGAACTTTCGCAAGATGTAGAGGCTGAGCTTTTATGTGAAACCTTTAAAGCACAAAGAGAGTTTTTTTTTCCTTTTTTCTTCCTCTCATGCTTAATCAGCGATCAACCAACACTAAATAATGAATCTAATGATCCCTTTGTTAATCAGAGGCATCTGACTAACAAAAACTATGCGGTTTTGGTCACAACATTATAATTTAGGTTGAGATCGAATCCATTGCTTTATGTTTTTGTCAAGAAGAAGTCATAGATGGGGTTAGGATGAATATTCGTTAGAGCTTAATAGTTTCTTGCTTGTGTATGTTTTCTACTTTTTTCTGCCAAAGAAAGGGATCAATGGATGATTTTATTGGAGATGAGCGTTACTGTTTATTGTAGAGTGGTTGAAACTTCACTTTTGCTGAATCAAGCGTACAAAATCTTTGGAGCTACCAAAAAAACGGTAGGAGAGGCGTTTACCAGCGAACATGAGAAATCTGAAAACGGCAAGGTGTTTTATTTGTCGACCAAATTAAATGATGCGCTCGTCACAATCCCTATTGGTCAAAGTCTTTTATTTAAAAAGCTCCAACACGCGCCAAAGCAAAACCATAGAGACGACTTAAAAAAAAAGAGTTTTTAAAAATAAACTAACAAAAGACTTCGCATAATATAAGAAACAAGTAAGGGTTTTTCTTTAAGTAATCACAAGACGGAATAAAACTGTTTACTTTGTAAAGAATGAAATTATCAAAAGTCGCAATTTGAAATGAAATTGCAAAACCATAGAGACGACTTAAACAAAACAAAAAAGTCTTTTAAAAAAAGAAATTAGCGCAAGATTTCGCATAATATAAGACACAAGCAAAGGTTTTCTTTAAGAATTTCACAAGAGGGTAAACAACTGTTTACTTAGTGAAGAATGTGATTTTGCATTTCATTTATAATGGACGGAAGCAAAATCAAAGAAGAAGAGGTGAACGCGAAGAGATCATCACTTAGATGGCGATGGTCTTTGGCAGCAGCTTTGGTTGTCGTGTTCTTGGCAGTCGCTGCAAACTCCAGGATAGGTTTTTTCTTCAACGGCTCCAAATCTTTACAACAGGTTCTATTTTCGATAAATTTTGGCGATGATCCATCTATGTTTTGTCCTTTGTGGGGTTGACTGGTTTAGTTTTGGAGGTGTTTTTTGATTAGTTTCTCGAATCATTGACGAAGAAGTCTGAAGTTGTTTTTCGTGTTAGAATCGGATGATGTTTGTCGAATAACTGTGGAAATTTCATTTGGTAATTGATTAACAAACGCTGAAATCCTGATTATTTGTGATGTCTGATGGATTCTTCACGTATAATGATAATTGTATTTTTGATGGATTTTTGATGACATTGTTGAGCCGTGTTGTTCAAGGCGCGAATGTTGTTTTTTTCTGAAATGTGCCAAAGATTTAAATGCAAAATGTGATTATTACTGCATTGTTTTTTTTTTTTGTAATTTGTCAATGGACTCATATTGATCACAGAAAAACTCAATAGTGATGAGAACCTCAATAGTGATATTTGCAGAAATGCAAAATGCGATCACAGAAATAGTCAATGCAAAAAACTTTAGATATTTGTGATTTCTCATTCACGTATAACTAATTTTTTTTTTGTTTTTTTTTGTTGGGCACAGGAATCTGGTATACACAGAGGTATGGTTGACAACCTCAATAGTGATGAGAAATCACAAATATCTAAAGTTTTTTGCCTTGACTATTTCTCTTCTTCTTCTTCACTTTTTATTTTTTTGGGGGTTATAAAAAAGGAAATGATCAAGATTTCAAAATTGGTTCCATGTCAATTCCTAATATTAATTGGGCTATATATGTTTCATTTGTTACTTAAGTGTGGCAGAAACACGAGAGTCTCAAGCTATCTACTGTACCGTATTATTTGTGGCGAAAGCCCTCCAACATCTTATAGCGTCAGGTTCGAGTCTTACAAGACCCTGATGGATCTGGTCGAGGATGGATACTACGAGTCCCGACCTTTCAACGTCGACGGATTCAGTTGGTAAGTCACTCTCATCGAGTTCAAGATCGTCACAACATTAATCTGATAGCTTATATGTTTTAAAAAATATATATATATTATTATTATGACACATTCTGGTTTAAAAAAATGTTAAAAGGACGTTCCTAATCTATCCAACGGGGATTGAGAAGAACGGATATGTTTCGCTTTATGCAAGAATCGATAACTCAAGCTTCTTCGGCGATGTGTATGCGGAGATTAAGTTCTTCGTCTATCACCCTTTTTCTGGCTTGTATCTCTATTCCCAAGGCGAGTACAGAATCTTAAAGAGGATATATATACATATACAAATCTCTCAAAATAAACCTAGTGATGTTAATTAGTGACAAGGATATATATAACCTAGTGATTTATATTGGTATCATTTTCTGGATTCAAACCTGGATAATGCATGCACTGATAATCCTTTTTTTTATAATGATGTTAGTATAATGGTCACTGGCTCATATTGCTATAGTAGTACATATTGTCTTGGTCTAAGCTACCACAAAAATGATAATTAAAAAAAAAAAAAGGTGTCATGTTGTTGTAGAGTTTGAACCGGTGATGTTTCATCCTTTCAAACCGGAGTGGGGGGTGGCAAAATTTCAACCGGCGTCCCTCTTCGATAAGTTAGCAGTAACAAATGGATACCTTACCAAGGACGGTGAATGTGAGCTTGGAATAGACGTCTTCTTTGCTCCACCTTTTAACAACTGGGAAAATTTCACCTATGATGATCATATCAGCGATCCCATTTTCAATTGGCACCTCACCAGTTTTTCTACTCGCTATCTCGACTCTTACACATCCGACACATTTTCTTCCGGAGGCAGAAACTGGTGACTCTCTCTCTTTCTAACATTCACTTCACACGTACACTTTTGTATATATCTATGTGTTAATATCTGTGATGGGCTTAATTAGGGTATTGAAAGTGTATCCAAGTGGAAATGGTGATTATTTGTCACTCTACTTGTTGAGTGAGCCTAATGAAAAGGATTACGTTCGAGCTACGCTACGAGTTCTCAACCAAATCTCATCCAACAATAATGTGGAGAAACATGGTGAGTGTTTCGCTCTATATGTGTGTCCTTTCTTATAATGCGATCGATTTGTTATAAATTATTAATGAGAAACAGCTATAATAATTGTTACAACAATTTTGAAAAGAAATGTTCGGGTTTAATTTATAAGTTTCTTTTGGTATAGTTTGTATTTGAGTTTCCTTATAATTAGTTTTCATAGATTGCATTTTGGATCCAGCAGAAGATCTAATACTCTCAAATCTTAGGATATTGAAGCTGTGTTTGTTTTATATATTTTAAAGTTTGTTGCTTTTTTTTGTTTTTCTTATCGTAAGTTGAGGGATGGGCTAATGCAGCAGAAACTGGATGGGGCTTCGAGGAGTTTATACTTATTTCAGATCTGAAAGATAGAACCAAAGGTTTCGTTGTGGGAGACTTGCTCGAGATTGAAGTCGAGATCATGGCCTTCTCTAAAACGAAGCACTCCATCTAACTAGGGTTTAATCATTTATGATGAGCCCAAAAACATGCTCCTTTTCTTTCTCCTTTTATAATAATGTCGTATCGTGTGAGATTCAAACTAGAGAGATCTCTTATCAAAACTTAAAACATTTTATATGTGAGACAACCCCATCTCTTTTGTTTGTATGTCCAAAATAATAAAGGTTTCTGTTTATTTTCCCAATGCTACTCTTTTGTTGATACTTTCTATGTTCAAAAATAATAAAGAGCTCCACATACTTTTTCCAAATTATTTGTCATCCTCCTAATTTCTTATGTCAAAAGAAAAGTTTTCCCTAGAGGAAACTCAAAAGAAAAAAAATCTTTGGCGATAGGAGAGGTAAAAAACGGAAGAAAAAAAATCTTTGGCGATAGGAGAGGTAAAAAACGGTAGGAGAAGCGTTTACCAACGAATATGAGAAGCCTGAAAACGGCAAGGTGTTTTATTTGGAGACCAAATTAAATGACACAATCCAAACTCTTTTATTTAAAAAACTCCAAAAGAATTTTGGCTAATGATCCAATTCGGAGTCCTTCGATTGTTTGCTTCTTGTTTCCCTGTGTGTTTAGGTTTAATCTGGCGCAAAGACTCTCTGACTAGCTTTGTCTTTAGATGGTTTTCACAAGCAACAATCTATGTAATGGCTATTTCTTGTTTTCTTGGCAGAACTATAAAAATCTTCTTTGAAACCATGTTTCACAATTCATACTGAAGCAGTTCAAAATACAATCACGGATACAGAACACAGAGACATTGAAGGTAACTGACTAAACCGGTGACTGACAAGGTCTTGACCAAACCGATTCCAGCTTGACCATGACTCATACTCCAGCTTTAACAAACCCATCTTTACTTGGGACCTCTCTTCTCAGTTATACATAAGTACAGTAGTCTACTTCGTACACAGTTGCATCTTTATAGAACGTCGAGAAGGTGGTTCCTACTCCTTCCCCTGCAATTCCACCAAAGAGGTTTATCATCGAAACTTTGTCAGACTTCTTGTTCAACAAAAGAAGCACAAGCCAAGGCAGAGAAAGAGAACAAAATGACTCAATAGTTCACCAGATAGAATGACTAGTCTACTTTTGATGATATTCAGATACAACTCAAATCGATGGAAATGAGACTCTACAAGACAGGGCGATTATTACGAGTGGAAAAATGAACTACTCACCGGAATTATCACTGACGTGGTGGTATTTGGATTAGTTGTCAAAACACAGACACTCTGTATTGTCTTTTTCAGTATCATCTCACACTCCTTTTCGGCTTTTCCTAGAGTCACGCAGAGTTAAAATCAGTCAGAAACACTAAATCCTACAATACGGATCCAAAAACATCCAGGGATGATCAAACTAAGTGCATTTATGATACCAATCTGCCCAGATTTAGGCTTCCATATGGCTTCAAAGCAAGCCTTCTCAGGGTTCTCGTTCTTCTTCGTGCCTGCTTTAGGTCCACAAACTGCAGCTAGAACTTTTGTATCCCCTAATATCACTAAACGAGAAGCATGCCCATTAAAAAGTCCCAAGAATCCCATTCGAGAAAAGAAGTAGAAAACTTTCATACCAATCAGAGTAATTGCGAAACCAAAAGAAAGATGGAGACTAAAAAGAAGTACCTTGCGAGCAGCTTGCAGAGCCATGAGGTCGACGAAGGATGTTACGGGAACAAGCAAGAGGTCTCAGCTGATTTGGCGTTCTGCCATCTTCTCTGTCTATCTCTATCGCTCTGATACTTCTCTACACACTTAGTAAGTGTCTCTCGTCCCAAACCAATGCCATCGAATTCTACCAATAACAAACAAGGTTTTTTTACCGTGAGAGTCGCTCCTAAAACAGACAAGACAATTTTCTTGTCCGGATTCCAAAGCCAGAACAGTGCCATCCCCAGAAAAAGCAGCAGTTGGCTTTTTTCCTGGAAATTATTCAAAGAGAAGAGAGCATATTGAAGTTGTATGAATGTTGTGTGAATGTTGAAGTTTCCTAATGCACAGAGAAGCTATTACTTATAAGAGCCAACTGCTTTAGGCAGTCAATGATACAGAGCCCACAATAGAACCTGCTTCAAGCTCAGCATTGAGTGGACTCGCAACAACAACAAAAATCATGTTTTTGAATCGTTCTGACCAATATTCTGTCTAGGCTTTTTGATTATTGAAACAAAAGCTCGTTCTTTCAATTCTACAATACTCGCTATGTCGCAGATAAAAGACAGTATTGAAATTTTACAGCCTATAAAAGAAGAGAAGCAGAGATATAAGAGGCGATTCGTTATCAAAATAGGAAAGTCAGTGAATATTTGCACATCAATTTCAATGAAGAAGTGAATACAGGGACCAATCAGTACAAAAACAAGTAAACAACTAAACTAAGTAAACAAGTAAACAACTAAACTAAGTAAACAACTAAACAAGCAAAACAATCAAAAGTTACTAATTAATCAGCCATTGTAATATCTTCAAACCAAATACTTCAGCAAACTCTTGATCGTTGAAAATACCTTCACAATTTGTCTCAAAATCACCCAAATCTATGAGATCATCCAAGTGTAAATCGTTATTGCCCTGTTCTTGGTCTGCAGGTGAATCATCATCCACCTCCGTATCTGTTCTGGCACAGTCATCAAGAATTCTGTAATTGGGCTGAATATTTAGGGTTTGATCTGGAGTTCTGATGATGTTGCCGTCCGTGAAACAGAGATTCTCAGAAATTGCAGAAGTCGACTGAAGATATAGGGATTGATTCGTGTCGTTGTTCTTCAGGGCATTATCATTGACGAGAGCCTGATGATGACGATACGCAATCGCTTCACATCGCTCAACAGACTTTTAATCGACTCGATCGCTTCCTCCTCGATTTCTCCCAAATTCTTCGATCTGTGAAGGCTATCGTCGTCCCACCAATACCCTAACCCTAGTTCTTTGCGAGCGAAGCAGATACCGATGTCTTCTCTCGTCTGTTTGCTTTCTGCTGGAACGGGAACGGGACGCTGTCCGGAGAGGTAAGCGGAGACGACGGCTTCCACGGAGGAGTGACCAAAAGAGTATAACGAGACGTTTGATTGGGAGGAAGAAGGAGTAGCCAAAATAGCGATTTGCGCGCCGCAGAGGAGGCAAAGCTGCGATGCCTTACTGTAGAGGCCATAACTCCTTTTCGTGAAACAGGTCGCCAGTGAGTTCTTCTTAGTGATTTTCTCGATCGGAATCTTCCTCTTCGTGCCTCCTTTCACTATTTTTGTCAAGAATCGAAAACCCTAATTGTCAAATCACAGAGCGAAATTAAAGAGAGTCGAAAGAGAGAATCTTTGTCAAGAATCGAAAACCCTAGTCGTGAAATTATAGAGCGAGATTAAAGAGAGTCGAAAGAGAGAATTTTTGTCAAGAATGGAAAACCCTAATTGTAAAATCACAGAGCCAATTGATTTATTTACCACAAAGCCTATATATATGAGAGAAAAAGAGACTGTATTCACTACCTTTCTCACTTTCGACTCTGACAAAGGTGATGAATGTTTGATTAGTTTTTAGTTTTTTGGTTTTCGATTTTTGGTTTTTGGTTTCTGTTTTTAGTTTTTGATTTTTAGATTTTGGTTTTTGGATTTTGCTGTAGATTTGTTTTTTTATTAACTACAATGGTGAATTATTTAGTTTTTGGTTTTTAAGTACATTTTAGTTTTAATCTATATTTACTAAAAAAATATTTAAGATAAATATTAGTAAAATAACATTAATTAAATTAATACTCATTAAAAATCAGAAAAATGTATTTACTTTTATTTGTTAAAAAATAAATTTATTTCATGAATTTATTTGAAAAAAAAAACAGTAAAAATAAACTACAATTATTGACCATCTCATAAAGATGCACAAATTTGATCCCGGATTCCTTCAATATACTGTGTTGGAGGGTTATTGCCTTCTTCGTCTTCATCTGAATTATAATTTTCTTTAACTACATTACTCGCTTGACTCGCTTGACGATTATTTGAATCAAAATCGTCATCTCGCAGGTTCGATAACCTAATAAAATTGTGTAATACCTTTGTCGCTGCAATAACTTTACGTTGAACATGTATACCATATTTTGGTTTTTCTCTTAAAACCTTCCATTTTTCCCTTCCACACATCAAAAGTCCGTTCAATGACAGATCGCAATGAAGAATGGCGTTTGTTAAACATCTCTTTAGAGCTATTAGGCGGAGTAGCTCCATTATATTCGCTAGGATGATATCTTTCACCTCGGTATGGAGTAAGGAATCCAGGTCGAAGAGGATAACCGGAATCTCCCAAATAATACTTTCCAAAAGGTGGAGTTGGAAATTGATGAGGCCCCTCCATTGCTAATGCTAGAACTTTTGCATCGTGAGCTGATCCCGGAATACCAATATATGCATATGTAAATAACATGTCCATATTACATATAGCTAGGATATTCATGCTGGTGTCACCTTTTCTGTTCCAATATTTTTTTGCATTTTTTCCAGCAATAGTGATAGGAACATGTATTTCCATCAATTGCACCAATAAATCCTTTAAAGTAACGCCCATACCTGTTATCTGATACTAGCCTTGGATGAGGTTGTGTGAGCTCATCTGGACTAGGTCTAAGCAAATCAACCGCCATTCTCTCGAGAGCATCCAACACTTCATGAAATTTTCTCCTATGGTTTCTTGTGAATGACCAAATATTTTTCCAACATATCTCTGATTTAAATTATGAGCACATATGTTTAGGAAAATTGCAACGCTTTTGTGGATGCTTACATTATCAGTCTCCTTCAAATGATAATCCTCTTTTAGTTTTTTCACATAATTGAATGTATACTGGTGGGTACATCCGAATTGTGTGATAGCATGATTAATCGTGACCATGGATAAGGTCATATACGTATCTCCGACCGCATTCTAGATCTAAGTTTATTCGTTGCCTCTCTACACCCATAAATGATTCTCCAAAGATAATACTTCCATCTTCTGCTTCACCATCTTCAAGCATTCTGTAAAAAGCTTCTCTCTAAAAAAACAAATATAATAAAATAAATGATTGAAAATCAAAAAAAAATATTAATGCATAAATATAAAATAAGAAACACTCATTATTCTACGTTAAACACTAATTTAACTGCGAAATAAAAATAAAAAAGTTTGTAGGTGAATTAAAAAATTAAGTTTGTTTATTCAGCTGCTCGGTCGATTCCTGTCATTCTCTCGAGATATCTAATCCTAGCATTATCGTCATGTAGTGTGAGATAAACACGTGCATGCGTCTCGTTGCTTTGAAGCACATTTACTGCTCCCCAATACAAAGAGGAGTCATATTGAAGACCAGGGAGTGTTAGTAATGAGCCAATTGCTTGTTCTAACTTGTTATGTTGTGCTTGCTCATAAATTTCTGTTTGTTTCATGTAGGCTTCATTCGTCACAAAGTCATACGAAGCTTTCGCCGTTCCTCGTTTACGTGCTGAAGATGAAGTGCGTGCAATGTTTCCTTACACTCGTTTGGAACTTTGATTGTAGGAAGACGGTGTTTCAATTAGGTTTTGTGAAGGCGCGTCAGAATCATCTCCTAGATTCACTGTTTCAGAATTATTCTCTGTAACTGTTTCTAACTCGGTATGTTGATCCACTCCAGAACCTGGATAATATCCATCATCAGTAGAAATATGTTTGTTGCCAAAAAGTCAATCCAATATATCGAAGTTGGTAAGGGGGTGTGTCCTATATTAAAAAGTTGAAAATATTAATTTATTTATTTTTAATAAAAAAGTGATGAGATGTAATGTTCAAGAGTTACCTGAATAAGATCACGCCACCATCCATCGTACATTTCAATAGCTTGTGTAGTTTCATTAACTGTGACTCCCGTCATACGTCGCAGTCGACGATAAATATCATAATTTTTTTGTAGCATAATATTTATTTTTTAGTGAATTCCATTCAGAGTTTTGACATGTTGCTTCTCGAAATGCATTTATAATTCTCGTTTTACTCTCTTTCTTGAGAGGACCAGTACGCCAACTAATATGTTCCATCTCAGTTTCATATACTTCAAGAAAAATATGAACCATATTATCGGTCCATTGTATCTTTCCCTTAAATAACAATATTACATACACATAATTAGTCAACTAAATTGAATACTATGATAAGAAATACACGAAAAACAAAAATAATATATTAACAAATATATACCTCTTTGATGTTTGATGATTGTCCTTGATTTTCCATGGCTATAGCAAATACACATAATTAGTAGACATACTTTTAAAAGAAAATAAATTAAAAAAAAAATATTTTTAAAACTATGGTTCTCTGTATTACACACAAAATATCAGAAATAATAATTAATACCTACATTTTTATAATGCAACAATTAAGTACAGTATAACATATGTATAATACTTATTATTAAAGAAGCTTTTTGTATACATTTCAATCTAGCCAAAAACACAAATTTGTTAATTAAAACACAATACTAACAAAGGTTAAAACAGAATGAAGTACATATTTTTAACCAAAAAATGAAGTTTATATCAAAAGATCCCTTCAAATATAAAACAAGTAATTATATAAACTTACCCAAAAAACTTCAATAGCTTAATAGCTCAATTGTAGATATGTTATTTCTGAGATTTTGTGTGTGTTCAGTTTGTAATAGTTTTGTATCTTATATAGAAAAATTAATACCTAAAATTAGTAAATTTTTACACAGAATAAATAAATACAAACGATATCTATGGTACCTAGTATTAGGAAAATCCTAAAGAATAGAGATTTTGGTTTATGCATCAGATATTTTTGCATTTAATTTCTTATTTAATAATAAAAAATAAATAACAAAATAAAAAACACACTTCATTAATATCGTTTGTGAGTTTTGTCTGAGTTTTGTGAACTCAAATTTGTTAATTAAACACACAATACTTTGTGTGTTTTTTATTTTGTTATTTAATTTTTATCATTAAATATGAAATTAAATGCAAAAATATCTGATGCATAAACCAAATCTCTATTCTTTAAGATTTCCCTAATACTAGGTACCATAGATATCATTTGTATTTATTTATTCTGTGTAAAAGTTTACTAATTTTAGGTATTAATTTTTCTATATAAGAACTCATACAAACTAAACACACACAAAATCTCAGAAATAACATATCTACAATTGAGCTATTAAGCTATTGAAGTTTTCTGGGTAAGTTTATTTAATTACTTGTTTTATATTTGAAGGAATCTTTTGATATAAACTTCATTTTTTGGTTAAAAATATGTACTTCATTCTGTTTTTACCTTTGTTAGTATTGTGTTTTAATTAACAAATTTGTGTTTTGGCTAGATTGAAATGTATACAACAAACTTCTTTAATAATAAGTATTATACATATGTTATACTGTACTTAATTGTTGCATTATAAAAATGTAGGTATTAGTTATTATTTCTGATATTTTGTATGTAATACAGAGAACCATAATTTTAAAAATATATATATTTTTAATTTAGTTTCTTTTAAAAGTCTGTCTACTAATTATGTGTATTTGCTATAGCCATGGCGAATCAAGGACAATCATCAAACATCAATGATGTATATATTTGTTAATATATTATTTTTGTTTTTCGTGTATTTCTTATCATAGTATTCAATTTAGTTGACTAATTATGTGTATGTAATATTTTTATTTAAAGGAAAGATACAATGGACCAATAATATGGTTCATATTTTTTTTGAAGTATATGAAACTGAGATGGAACATATTAGTTGGCGTACTGGTCCTCTCAAGAAAGAGAGTAAAACGAGAATTATAAATGCATTTCGAGAAGCAACATGTCAAAACTTTGAATGGAATTCACTAAAAAATAAATATTATGCTACAAAAAAGTTATGATATTTATCGTCGACTGCGACGTATGACGGGAGTCACAGTTAATGAAACTACACAAGCTATTGAAATGTATGATGAATGGTGGCGTGATCTTATTCAGGTAACTCTTGAACATTACATCTCATCACTTTTTTATTAAAAATAAATAAATTAATATTTTCAACTTTTTAATGTAGGAAATACCTGATGCTGCAAAACTCCGGACACACCCCCTTACCAACCTCGATATATTGGATCGACTTTTTGGCAACAAACACATTTCTACAGATGATGGATATTATCCAGGTTCTGGAGTGGATCAACATACCGAGTCAGAAACAGTTACAGAGAATAATTCTGAAATAGTGAATCTAGAAGATGATTATGACGCGCCTTCACAAAAGCTAATTGAAACACCATCTTCCTACACTCATAGTTCCAAACGAGTGTACGGAAACACTGCACACACTTCATCTTCAGCACGTAAACGAGGAACGGCGAAAGCTTCGTATGACTTTGTGACGAATGAAGCCTACATGAAACAAACAGAAATTTATGAGCAAGCACAACATAACAAGTTAGAACAAGCAATTGGCTCATTAATAACAATCCCTGGTCTTCAATATGACTCATCTTTGTATTGGGGAGCAGTAAATGTGCTTCAAAGCAACGAGACGCTTGCACGTGTTTATCTCACACTACATGACGATAATGCTAGGATTAGATATCTCGAAAGGATGACAGGAATCGACCGAGCAGCTGAATAAACACACTTAATTTTTTAATTCACCTACAAACTTTTTTATTTTTATTTCGCAGTTAAATTAGTGTTTAACGTAGAATAATAAGTGTTTCTTATTTTATATTTATGTATTAATAATTTTTTTTGATTTTTAATAATTTATTTTGTTATATTTGATTTTTTAGAGATAAGCATTTTACAGAATGCTTGAAGATGATGAAGCAGAAGATGGAAGCATTATCTTTGGAGAATCATTTATGGGTGTAGAGAGGCAACGAATAAACTTAGATCCAGAATGCAGTCGGAGATACGTATATGACCTTATCCATGGTCACGACCAATCATGCTATCACACAATTCGGATGTACCCACCAGTATACATTCAATTATGTGAAAAGCTAAAAGAGGATTATCATTTGAAGGAGACTGATAATGTAAGCATCCACAAAAGCGTTGCAATTTTCCTAAACATATGTGCTCACAATTTAAATCAGAGATATGTTGGGAAAATATTTGGTCATTCACAAGAAACCATAGGAAGAAAATTTCATGAAGTGTTGGATGGTCTCGAGAGAATGGCGGTTGATTTGCTTAGACCTAGTCCAGATGAGCTCACGCAACCTCATCCAAGGCTAGTATCAGATAACAGGTATGGGCGTTACTTTAAAGGGTTTATTGGTGCAATTGATGGAAACACATGTTCCTGTCACTATTGCTAGAAAAAATGCAAAAAAATATTGGAACAGAAAAGGTGACACCAGCATGAATATCCTAGCTATATGTAATATGGACATGTTATTTATATATGCATATATTGGTATTCCGGGATCAGCTCACGATGCAAAAGTTCTAGCGTTAGCAATAGAGGGGCTTCATCAATTTCCAACTCCACCTTTTGGAAAGTATTATTTGAGAGATTCCGGTTATTCTCTTCGACCTGGATTCCTTACTCCATATCGAGGTGAAAGATATCATCCTAGCGAATATAATGGAGCTACTCCGCCTAATAGCTCTAAAGAGATGTTTAACAAACGCCATTCTTCATTGCGATCTGTCATTGAACGGACTTTTGATGTGTGGAAGAGAAAATGGAAGGTTTTAAGAGAAAAACCAAAGTATGGTATACATGTTCAACGTAAGGTTATTGCAGCGACAATGGCATTACACAATTTTATTAGGTTATCGAACCTGCGAGATGACGATTTTGATTCAAATAATCGTCAAGCGAATAATGTAGTTGAAGAAAATTATAATTCAGATGAAGACAAAGAAGGCAATAACCCTCCAACATATTATATTAAAGGAATCCAGGATCAAATTTGTGCATCTTTATGGGATGATCGATAATTGTAGTTTATTTTTACTGTTTTTCTTTTCAAATAAATTCATGAAATAAATTTTATTTTTTGAATAAATAAAATTAAATGCATTTTTCTGATTTTTTAATAAGTATTAATTTAATTAATGTTATTTTACCAATATTTACCTTAAATATT